TTGTTTATGGATAGTATCCTAGTTTTTGAAAAGCTTCGTATCATTTGACATGAAATTAATAACTTGATCATCTTAAGAAGGATTTTGTGTGCTTATTTAATTGAATATAGCAAAGCATATGAGGGTTGGTTAGACGCGGTTTCATGAAGAATTTTCTAGGGAAAAATGGGCTCATATTTACATTACCTTAAGGAAATCCACGAAAATGCTTAAACACAGTGGTAAGCTGTAGGAGGGCTCCTTTAATCTATTTGTTAAATTTGCGTCTAATTTTGAAGTTCTCCCCTTTATTTAGCTAGTTTATATATTCAAAGGAAAATACATGTTACTCAATGAACTTCGTACGTTAGTCTGAATAACCTTTAAACTTGATAAACAATATATTTCTGTGACAAAGAATGCTTTCTGACTGCACAATCTATTTTACATTTAGCGAGTTTGTGCCAAATAAGTTTATGCGCTATTTTATGTAATTTCTGCAATATTTTGTAATTCTTATACTTTTGTAAATTTAAATTTTATTTTTTCAAAGATATTTTCTTTTTATATTCACAAATATTTGTATTTTCTATTTTTCTAAGAAGTGAAACATTTAATTAGATTCTGATACTTTGTTTTCATAAGATAAAATACGAACCCTTTGTTAAAATTTTCATAGCTCACTGTAGCTTACACTGCGAGTCCATTCATTCGATTTGAAACTACGAATGAATTAGCAAATTGATCATTCCATTCATTCGTCTTATCGACTTGAATACAGTGAGGAAGGAAGTAAGTATCTTTCGTAAATATAAACGCATTTCTAAGTAGTAATTTTAAAATATGATTTTGACACCTGTTTGATGCTCCTTTCAAAATATTTATCAATTACAGATATAAATATATATATATATATAAAGAGAGAGAGAGAGAAAATTACGAAGGGAATAACATACATGTATATGTTAATTACGAGAGTAAGTATTTCTAATGTATGCAAAAGAGTTTGAAAAATTTGGATACATAAATATTTTTTCTTCAATAAATATTACAATTTATTGACTATCAGCTTCTCATCGGCTGTCGGCATCTATTCTTATCAGCAAATGATAACATCCTAATCCCATTCAGATTCTTTGATATGATTAATGAAATTGCGCCTGAATTGTGAAGAATATTTAACAAATTCCAGATTTTCTTCTTATCTATTAAACAATTTTAAGTATTTGAAAACATCTGAATTGTATTATAAGATCCTCATTATCAAATTCACTTAATTTCACTATTTTTTACATTCACTTCCTATGAGGATGAAGGACAACTGTCGCTATAATATATTGAACGAATAGTGGTTTCCATTCGTCGGATTCCAAGCGATCCAACCTTTTCCTGTGTTGATCGAAGAATAGAATGCGAGAAACCAGTTCTTTTGCCATGTCAGAAAGCAATGCAGGATGTTCGCGAAATGTACAAACGCCAGAAATGGAAGAGCGAGTTGTCGGCATTTTTAGTAAGTACTTTCTGCGAGTTTTTCACTAAACAATAAATTTGAGTGCGCAACTTTTGGTCTTGTTCATTGGCTTTCCTAGCGCTGTTGTAAATGCAGGTTGGAATTCTAATATTCCTCTTTTCTGCTTCTCAGAGTGGAATGCGACCGTATATTCTATAGTAATTATTGCTCGTCTGGATGGGTACTATTACCCCTCTTAATTTGTAAAAACAATTTAGAATCACCCTGTATAAAGAGAGAGAGAGAGATGTATTATATATGTAACTTGAAACTTCTAATTGCTTCAAAATCTAATTAACCATTTATACTGATATTACATAAATATATTTACGTTAATGAACATTGTATATTAAAGATATTTTTCTCTGATATTTTATACATTGTTCTATATTTTGTTCCATTTACATATACCTATATATAGATACCTATTTTAAGGATTTCATATTAACTACTACATATATAACCAAAACGTGCATCAGTAATGTATTTTTCAGTATCATTAACTTCTTTCTTAAGGATTTTATGCAGTCTAGTTTGCGTTATTTTATTCATAAGTCCCAAATTGAAAACAATTTAATGTTTACATGGCATTAGAAAATTAACCAAAAAGCAGCGCCCACAATGTAATCGAAAAAGGCCCTTGGACGTGAAAAAGTTGAAAGACTATTTTCTCAGATACTCAGATACTTCGTATGCATGTAACATAGCATTCGATATGCAAAACTCAGTACTGAATGCAGAGAAGTTAAATGTTTAGATGACCCCCATATTTTCCCAGAACTCCGAAGGAGATGATCTCCTCTTTTTCAGTATCCCCCCGTGTTTAGGGTGGTTCGTAATTCATGACTTGACCGCATATGATAAGCATTCGTTTTAGACATTATGCTTGTATCGCCGGTTTACTACAGACCAGAGTTCTACCTGCGCTTTAAGGCATTCTGTGAGCCGTTGGACTACTCTACTACACCTTGACGTTATTAGTTGTTAAGTTATTCTGTTAAGCCAAAAGTGCTGGGCTTCTTGTAATCCAAATTGGGTCATTTGTTAAATTTATGTTTGAATAAAAGGATCTTATACATCCTTCTTCTGATTTCTGTTTTGTTTCACAAGGCTACAAGATAATTCTTCAACAGCCTTTTAAAGTCTAACATTGTATGTTTCCAAAGAGACATTACATTTTTATTTCAAAAACTTGTAACTAAATGTATTTATTTAGCTTTTCGTTAATTTTGAAAAAA